TTAGCGGTTAAGTGCGCGAGCTCCGCTGCTGGCGGCCCGGGTTCGGATCCGGAGCCGGGGGCGCACCGACACACTGCTTCTCCGGCCATGCTGAGGCCACGTCCCATGTACAGCAACTAGAAGGATGTGCAGCTATGACATACAACTATCTACTGGGGCTTTGGGGGAAAAAAAATAAATAAATAAAATTATATATAAAAAAAAAAAAAAAATCTTCTGTAGAGCCTTCACAACGATCATGGTCCTGCCGACACCTTGATTTAGGACTTCTAGCCTCCAGAACTGTGAGAAAATAAATTTCTGTTGCTAAAGCCACCCAGTCTGTGGCACTTGGTTGTGGCAGCCCTAGCAAAATAATACAGTAATTCAACGGGGAAAGGACAATCTTTTCAACAAATGGTTCTGGAGAAATTGGATAGCCATATGGGAAAAAAATGAACTTTAACCCTTACCTCACACCATGAAAAAAAAAAGTAATTCAAAATGATTCATGGACCTAAACAAAAGAGCTAAAACTATAAAACTTGCAGAAGAAAACATAAGAGGAAATCTTTGTGACTTTGGGTTAGGCAAAAATTTCTCAGGACACAAATAGAAAATTGATAAATGGCACGTCATCAAAATTTAAAACTTTAGCTCTTTGAAAGACATTCTTAGGAAAATGAAAAGGTAAACCACAGATGGAGAGGAAAAGATCCCAAAATGTATTTTGGCAAAGTATTAGTATTCAGACAGTCCACTTTTTTAAATGGGCAAAAGATTTGAAATAACACTTCACCAAAGAAGATAAAACAAGTACTGAAATATGAACAATTGCATTAGTCATTAGGGAAATGTCAATTAAAATCACAACGAGCTATCACTACACACCTACTAGAATGGCTAAAATTTTAAAATTTGACAACACCAAGTATAGGTGAGGATATAGAACAACCAAAACTCTCACCATTGATCTCATTAATGCAAAATGATGCAGCCACTCTGGAAAGAGTTGGGGAGTTAAAGTTAAACGTACACTTACAATTCAATTCAATGTATTTACAATGTATTGTAAATACATTCTAGGTGTTTACTCAAAAGAAATGAAAACAGATGTGCACACAAACACTTATATATGAATCTTCATAGCAGCTTTATTCATAATAGGCAAAAACTGGAAACAATCCAAATGGCCATTAAAAGGTCAATAAATAAGCAAATTGTGATTTATAAACACTACTACTCAGCAATAAAAAGGAACAACTGTTGATACACACAACATGGGTGAATCTCTAAAGCATTATAAGTGAAAGAAATCTGACATAAAAGGCTACCTCCTATTTGATTCCATTTATATGAAATTCTAGAAAAAGCAAAACCATGGTGACAGAAAACAGATCAGTGATTTCCAGGGGCTGGGAGACAGGGAAGGGGATTAACTGCAAAAAGTAACAAGGAAACTTTTTGGAGAAATGAAAATGCTCTCTATCCTGATTGTAGTGAGGGTTACATGGCTATTTATTTGTCAAAACTCATAAAACTGTACGTTTTAAACTGGTGAATTTTATTATATGTAAACTATACCTCAATAATGCTGATTTTTTTTTAAATTAAGGGTGTTCTCTTTCAATGCTAACAAAAGCCAACCTGAAATAATTGGCCAAGAACTTTTATAGCTTGTGAGTCACCTCAACAGGGATGGAACAAGAGGAGAATTATAGTGAAACTATAATGCACTGATTCAGTTGAAGCTCTCATGAACATCAGGAATTTTCCTTTCTGACTCATTTTACTTGGTAACTTCCACTGCCTTCGTCCATTAACAGTACTGAACCAGGGGTTTATTAAAGTGAGTGGCTACTTGGTTTTCATGACTCAAATTCTTTTTCAAAAAATCCTCTTTATATTTTTTACAGTGAGAAATATACCTGTCAAGAGCACAAGATAATCATGTCTAACGGTCATTGTTTTCTCTCTGTGTAGGCAAAATTACATCCTGAGGTTACGTGATGAGTGTGGAATCAGAGAAAGGGGAGTTGGTTAGCTGAGCAGTCTTTCATAAAATAAATCAGAAAAGAAGGGGATAGGGTGAAAAGTAAAAATTCCTATGCTCCCCTCCAACTCATACTATTATGAAGCAACCACCACTAAGAGTTTCTTGTGTGACTTTTCAGATATTTTCTTGGACATATTCAAGCATATATATATGTAAGAAGTTGAACCACATGAAATTGCCATTTTTATAGGTTAGAAATTGCTGAATATCAACAATTTCATATGGTTCAACTAATATATCCTCTCATTAATACACATGCTCTCATATTCTATATACTGTTCTATAATTCTCTGTTTCTCTTAATAATGTATAGTGGCCACTTTTCCATATCAATACATACAGCTGTACATCACTTTCTAAATACCTGGATAGTTTGCTATTGCAGGGTTGTACCATACTTTATTCAATCAGTTCCCTTGTGATGGATATTTGTCTTGTTTCCTGTCTTTTGCTCTCTTGGTTAATATAGTTGGATGATCACAATGGCTATTGTCTTCAAACATGAAAGCTCTCTTCTTCCATCTCCAGTTTAGGAATATGCCCACCCAAAGAACAGATACTTGGGTTTGTGGATTGGGTTTCTGTGTCTCTCTCCATTGTTGAAATTCTTAAACATCCACACAACAATGGAAATTCAACTATACTATTAAATTTGAACACGGATCCCAGTTCGTCCAAGTGTACTTAATGTTAAAGATACCATTTGAGTTCAAATCTTTGAATGCTACTCAAGTTGAAAATCCCTCCCCCAGCGAACTGTTCTTATTATTATTAGACTGCCACTATTTAAAGCTTTGCCTTTTATCAATGTTCATGTTACTCCCTTGTTCAAAAAGCTTTGCCTGCAGAATAAAATAAAACTTCTTCCCTTGGCATTCAAGGCCGTTTGCCCCCAGCTCCAATGTACCTTTCCAGTCTGGTTTCCCCTCTGCCACATGTGGTCTGTGCTGCCACACCTGATCGCATGGCCTTTCCTTTTACTCAGGCTGTTCCCTCTGTTGGAAATGTCCTTCAGTCTCAGCTCCTCTGTGGGAAGTCTGCCTACCTTTGCAGTCCACCTGTAAAGCCACTTCTCACTCCTCCGGCACCCCTCCACCAGCAATGTGATGCTGTAAGGAAAGCATATGCTTTGTCACACCTGCGTTTGAATCCTCAGCTCCCCACTTTCTCACTATGGGAACTGGGGCAAATTACTTGACTTCTCTTAGCCTCAGTTTTTCTCATCTGAAAAATGGAATCTAATCACTTGGTTTTGCCTGCAACATGTGGGAGGGCATGCGGTCCATAGATGGAAGATAAATGTGTTTATGAGCAGATCACACATGAATAGAGGATGGGTAAAGGATTTCTTTATTCTTCTCATTGAGTCACTGTGAGTTATATCCTGAGGAAGCCAGGACTGATCCAGTCTTTATGTAGTCCACTCAGATGAGCTCTCAATAGCTTTGGCATTCTTCATTACCTCCACACGCTTCTCAGTCATTTTCCTGTTTCTCTGTTCTCCTCTCGGATCCATGCTCCACCTGGGAGGGGCCGTGTATACTGTCAGAGGGGGAGACATCTACAGGAAACAAACCCTTCTGTTGACTTATAGCATTATTATAATTTTAAAAATCTCTGTATTCTGTATAATCAACCAAAGGAAGTGAAAGGTAAGAAAGAGCTAAAGAGGAAAAAAACTATATTCTCCCACAGGTGTTATCATACTATGTTGGAGTGTCAAAAATAATATCTGTAAAGTGTCTGGAACATTAAAAACACTATAACTGAGCCATGAAAAAAAACCCTTAATATTCACAGGTTCTCCTCTTCCTCTTGTGCATACAGAGTTGCCTGTCTTTGGTCAGAGGTCCCAGCTTAAGTCAGGGGTAATGGAAGAGGAAGAGACATGAAGGACTGGAGGCCCACTTTACAGTAAAAAGCAAAGTGAGTTACTCAGGAGAATGAACATTTAGTGGGGAGTAGAACCACCAACGGCTGCATTTGAAAGAGTTTGGGAAAGTTTTGAGAGAGAAAACGGGAGTTGGGAGCATCTGTTGTGCAATGTCATGTGAGAAAGGGAGAGAGGGAGACAAATTGGGAAAGATTATTTTAAGGAATTTTCTTGTATGTAATGAGTTTAAGCCCATTTTGCCATTTTCCAAGTGTCCAGAAAAGATCCAAATTAATTTTCAATTACTTCCTAATGACTATACTAAAATGGGCGCAGAGGGGCCCAGCTTTAACCAGGTCTATAAATACTTAATAAATATAGTGACTCCTTCTCTGGAGCCTCGATCACCTCCCTTGAAGTTTTAATACTATACTGACAATATTATGACATGCCATGTAGTAAAGTTGGCCCTGTGTATGTTTATCTCCCCTACTAGGTTATAAACAGTCCCCTCGAAGGTAGGGATTGTGTCTTAACCATCTTTGTGTCCTGCCCCAGATCCAGCTTCCAGTCACCGGTTAGTGAATTGCACAAAGTAGATTTTCAAAAATTAGTGTGAAATGAATGCACGGGTGATGGATGAATCAAATTGAACTTAAAGGGCGATTTCGTTAGCAACATCTATGACAGCACTGTATTCTCCCCCTCACGTCCTACCTGATGGACTCTGTGAGGGACCACATCTGTCCTGGTCCTCACTTTATCCACAGCACTAGCATTACGTTAAGCACACAATAAGCGTTGGAATAATCTTTGCATTCCCTAGAATGCGTATTTCCACGTATCAGGAATGGAAGAGAGAAAAACAATCCAAGGCCAAACGGAGGTGAGATGCCGTGGTGAGGCTGCTGTACAGAAGAGCAGTTCCCGCCTGCTCCTAGGTGGGTGATAGGGGATAGGAATGCCCCAGGAGACCCCTGGGAACCGCGGGTGATCGCCGGCGCCGGTCTCTCCTCCGCGGCGGTAGGTGGCGCTGTGGCTGGGCCCAGCCGCCCGGTCCGCACGGCGCCGCTCTCTGGGCGGGGTGGGGAGTCGACAGAAGGACTTGCGGCGGGCCCGCTTCGGCCGCTTTGCTGGCCTGGTCTGCTTCTTCGTGTGACTGTGCGCTCAGTCCGGCACCATGGGGAAGCGGGACAATCGGGTGGTGAGTACCCGGGGGGAGCAGTGGGGCGATGCTGGGCCCGGCGGCAGGAGAGTGGGACCCCTTGCTCTTCCCGGCCTGGCCTAAGGGTCAGCGGCGGCGCTCGGACCTCGAGCCGGGAGACCCGGCTCCCCCAACCGCCGCCGGGCCTAGACGCGCGTGCGCCGCGCATGCTGTTGGCGCCTTCTGGCCCCACAGCCTTTGCGCCGTCTTTCTTCTTGCCTCTTGTCCGCCTCTATCCTCTGCCACCTCCAGTCTCGTCGCACCCTCTGGCAGTGCTCCCTGGCTCCCTTCCCTCCCGCTCTCGGGCCAGCAGTGTCCTTTTTTAAGAGCTGCAGGGGCTCAGGGAGACCTGTCCCCTCCAGTATGTTAGTGCAAAGTCTGAGGCCCATGGAGGCGGCCGGGACTCGCTCCCGCCTCAGGGTTGCCCACCCCATCTCCGCGTCCCTCTCGTGCGCGGGTGGGACAGAGGCGCGGAGGCCTCGGACGCGCTCCCTGCACCCGGGAGCCTGCAGCGCCCCCCAGATCTAGCGGCAGGCGTGCTCCGTTTGAGAAGTAGGCTCGAAGCATTTGGCTTTTTGTACCCAGCGCCCAGCACTGCCTGGCATCTAGTAGGCCGGCCCCGTAGAAGAATGAATGGCGTGAAAATAGTTGACTTCGGAGTCAGGCGCAAACTAGAATGTCAGTTTTGGTCCCTCAGGAGTTGGGGGACTTAGGACAAGTTGCTTTTCTTCTCTTACCCTCAGTTTCTTCATCTGTAAAAGGAGATCAGTGTTGTCCAGAGCCTTGCAGAATAGTTGAGACCACAAAAGGCAAGATGGCCAGGCGAGTGCTTCGCAGGAAAGTTATTACTGTAGTAAAAGAGATACATACATAAATAACTAATAGAGTAAGAAATGATATCGGATAGAGGTTCCAGGTTCTGAGGGCATTGAAAAGAGAAAGTACTTTTGACAGGTGGAGATGGGAGGAAGGCACTCTAGATGGCTACTGGGTTGGTTTGGAAAGCCCAGGTTATGAATCAGATTGGATGGGCAGTAAACATGAGGAATTAGCAATGAGGTTAGGTTGCAGCCTCACAGTTCCTGGGCTTGTCTGTGATAGAGTTTTAACCACTGAGTAGTAAAATGAAAAAAATATATGCAGTTAAAGCTCATGTACTAAATTTAATGAACTACCTTTTTAATTCAACGATTGTCTCCTTTGCGGTTTTTTGGGTGGGTGGGGAGTGCTACAAGAGCATTACTTTTACGAAATGATGACATTTCCCATCTTCAAAACGTTTGTTTTAATTTTATATAGTTTTCATGATCAAAGATGTCTGGGAACCACAGTAGTGAACTTTGATTACAAGGTTGACTGACGAATGTTCTTTTCTCCTGCTTTCCTGGCTGTAGGTCAGACCTTGTTGTGGTATCCTGATTCTCATAGAGTTGAAATGGTTTCTGCTGGAGCATCCTTAGGCTTGAAGTGTTGAGTGTTTTGGCTCTTTAATGCTCTTGGGTCTTGAATCTTGAAATTGCCAGACCTTGGATGCAGGTTCATACAGAGGCCTAAGATGTTTTGTTTTCCTGGGGAAAAGTGTTGGTTTATACGTCTCTTCAAAGCACTTGAAAAACTTTTCAAATGAGGTTTATTTACCAGAGCATTTTGATAATAACTCTGGGCTCTACTTATTATTTAGTATGCTGTCTTGGCACAGAGTGTTCTGGTAACATTTTGTTTGCACTTCGAAGGTTGTGGGAATGAAAACATGAAATTAAGAGGTAGAACACGCAGATTGTTTAATTCTGTCTCCTCATTGCATGGAGGAGGAGATGGAACTGTTTAAACTGGGACTATAATTTGAGTCATCTGATGCTTAGTTCAGTACATCATAACTCTTGATTTTGAATAACTAAATGAATGTTTCCCTCTGAAAATACTGGCATTTTTTTTCTTCTTACATTGATGATAAAATCGTAGTTTTAAACATGACAGAATTGCTTTCTTAAAAAACCATTAAATTTCAGTTTGAAAGTTTTTTTAAAAATAGACTTTATTTTTTAGAGCAGTTTTAGGTTCACAGCAAAATTGAGCAGCAAGTACAGAGAGTTCCCACGTACTTCCTGCTCATAGTCCGGCACAACCTCCCCCATTTTCAACCCCTGCCCCAGGGTGGTACATTTGTTAACAGCGGACGACCCTACATTGATGTCATTTTCACGAAGTCCCTAGTTTACATTAGGGTTCACTTTGGTATTGTACAATTCTCGAACACTTTTTTTTTAACTTAACATTTTAATTCTCAAGATTCGTAAAGGGCTCTTGAATTCACGCTGGTCACCCTTTGTGCCCGTTGTTTTACAGAAGTTTCCGTCATGTTCTTTTCTGTTACTTTGTGCCCTCTAAAACAGCTGTACCCTCTAGATAAAACTAGATAATCAAAGTAACTAATGAAGTTCTGCACATTTTGTCTTTAGCAGTTTTACTGCATTGCTCTTTTCAACCTGCCCACTTATATATTCCTTTGTGCCCAATTTGCCATCCTGAGTTTCAAAAACAAATTATTTTCTGTTACCCAAACTCATGCAGCAGTTTGGAGCCACAGACAATTCTAGTTACATATAAATATGAGTATTTGACTCTATAAGGTCACAGTACTTAAAGCGAATAAGTCATAGTGAGATGTTTCAAGAAATTGCACAATTTATTTATTTTAACTGATGCCTAACCACCCACCCCCTTAATGTTAGGAGCATTATTTTTCACACTGATGAATAAGTGAAAAAGCTTTACCTTTGTAAAATAGTTATTTTTTTTGTTTTAAAAACCTTTCTGGGCCGGCCCTGTGGCTTGGTGGTTAAGTGCGCGTGCTGCGATGCTGGCGGCCCGGGTTCGGATCCCGGGTGCGCATCGAGGCACCACTTCTCTGTCCAGCCTGAGGCCGTGTCCCACATACAGCAACTAGAAGGGTGTGCAGCTGTGACATACAACTATCTACTGGGGCTTTGGGGGCAAAAAATAAATAAAATCTTTAAAAAAAAAAAAAAAAAACCTTTCTGTTGTGCTTAGGAAAAAAAAGCATGAGCATAAGCATGCTTATGATTATGAGCACAAACTAGCAAGTGTTTTGCAAGGAACCTAGCACATAAGAAGCACTTAAAAATATTGCTGTTATAATTGAAATAAATAATGGAGATATTTGGAGTGTACTTAGCAGACTGAGGATAGTGTTTATGGTCAAAAGCTTGTAAGTTAAGCCTTATTGCATACTCAATGATAGCTCATGTAATTGTACCATAAATTGTCTATAACTAATAGTCCTAGCATGCGAATATACTGCTTTACTCTTTAATTTTCCTCTGAAAGATAAACAGTAAGATAGGCCAGTATGTACTTTGGGAAAGCAGTTTCACAGTAGACATTAAGACACATAAAAATGTTAATATGCTCTTAAGATATATGCTAGAAAATTTGAAGACTGTAAAACATGGTAAATGTTGTGATTTTTTTTTTTAATTAGAATGAAAAATTACCACTGTACTATTTGTGAATTTTTACTTGAAGACAGTTCAGCTCTCTGAATCGGAGCAGCAGAACTGTGGTTGAATTTTTCTTATTTTTTTTTACTGTTAATATTATGATAAGGTTTGTGTGTAGTTTTTTGTTTTGTTTTTCTTTTACAAAGGTAATGAGTTACTGGGGCCAGCCTGGTGGCGTAGCGGTTAAGGTTGCACGCGCTGCTTCAGCAGCCCGATGTTTGCAGGTTTGGATCCCGGGCGCAGACCTATGCATCACTTGTCAAAGCCATGCTGTGGCGGCATCCCATATAAAGTAGAGCAAGATGGGCACGGATGTTAGCCTAGGGCTGATCTTCCTCAATGAAAAAGAGGAGGATTGGCAACAGATGTTAGCTTAGGGCTAATCTTCCTTAAAAAAAAAAAAAAAGGTAATGAAAAAAAAGGTAATGAGTTACTTAAAATTTTTTTTCTCCAGTGTATGAAATGATGAAAGTAGACATCTCCCTTTACATTTTAGTGCACATGCATCTAAATTTTTTAAAAATTACAGCTATTTATTAAAATGGTATCTTATTTTTTGGCATCTTGCTTTTGCTTTTCCCTTGAGAAATCCTGGACATCTTTGCATATCAGTAACTATAGATCTACCTCACTCTTTTTAATGACTATATAGTATTTCATTTGGGGGGTATATGTTAATATATTTAATGAATCTCAATTTGATGGCTATTTGAGTGTGTTCAATTTTACCTATTTTAGTAATTTAGTTTTAAACATCTTGTATATATTTGCATTCTTTGGAAATAAAGTTTTTACAATTTTAAACTTAAAATATTTTATCATTAGGTATTGCTAAAATTATGACATAATACCAAAGAAATGAGAAGGTGGTAGATATTATGCTCCTGTTTTAAAAACAATGAACTTAGCTTGCACGTTGTACTCACTTCTGGTTATTAGGATTGTCAGTGTCATTAGCTGAGCCACAGCTCCTCTATTGCAGCCTCCATTGTTTGTCATACTTCCACAAAATGATTGAAATTCTCTGCAAAGGCAGTTGAATGAAATATTTGAGGGTGTAACAGTTGATATAAAAAATATCACTATATGCCTCTGTCTTTAATGTTACATTTGATATCCACATCTAGCGCTTAACTCTGTAAACATTTCTGACATTAGCTCTAGCATTCATTCCAACCTGTAAGAAAATTATGTTAAAAGTAAATAATGCTGCTGTGAACATGGTATACACATATCTGTTTGAGTCCCTGCTTGCAATTCTTTTTCAGTTCCACTTAGAGGTGGAATTGCTGGATCATACGGTAATTCTCTGTTTAACTTGCTGAGGAACTAGCAAACTTTTCCACAACAGCTGCACCACTTTATATTCCCACCAGCAATGCATAAGGGTTCCATTTTCTTCACATCCTTGACAACACTTGTTATTTTCTGTGTTTTTGATAATAGCCATCCTAATGAGTGTGAGGTGGCATCTCATTGTAGTTTTGATTTGCAGTTGCCCAATGACTAGTGATGTTGAACATCTTTTCATGTGCTTGCTGGACATTTGTATATCTTCTTTGGAGAAATGTCTGTTCAAGTTCTCTGTGCTTTTTTGTGTGTGTGTGTGTGTGAGGAAGATTGGCCCTCACTAACATCTGTTGCCAGTTTTCGTCTTTTTGCTTGAAGAAGATTGTCCCTGAGCTAACATCTGTGCCAGTCTTCCTCTGTTTTGTATGTGGGACACCACCATAGCATAGCTTGATGAGCGGTGTGTAGGTCCATGCCTGAGATCTGAACCCATGAACCCAGGGCCGCCAAAATGGAGTGCGCGAACTTAACCACTATGCCTCTGAGCTGGCTCCTCTATGTGCATTTTTTGATTGAGTTGTTTGGGCTTTTTGTTGTCAAGTTGTAGGATTTCTTTATGCATTCTGGATACTAATCCCTTATCAGATATATGATTTGCAAATATCTTCTCCCAATCTGTGGATTGTCTGTTCACTCTTTTGATAGTGTCCTTTGATGCACAAACATTTTTAACTTTGAAGAAGTTCAGTTTATCTATTTTTTCTTTTGTTGCCTGTGCATAATTTAATTTTTAATGTTAACAATTTGTGAATAAAATTGCCATCAGTATGGCACAGTATTTCCTGAGACAGAAGATATAGTGGAATAAGCAGTGAATTTAGAGTTACATCTTCTTTCACTTTGGAACTGAGTTTCTTTATTTGCCAGTGAGCATAGTGTTACCACCTTCACAGGGGTATTGGGCTTTAGGGGAAAGCACTATAAAGCCATCTTACAGTAAGAAAGAGATATCATTATTTTCATCAAATCTCTGGTAAAAACACATTTTCTATGAAGTAGCGATATTACTCATCTCCCAAACTTGTGAGGATTATTAGAGCGTTAAATTTATTTTTTGTAATGAAAAGTTGGTTGTCAGATTGTTCATGCTTAGTTGGACATAGTTTGCATTTATAATAAATATTGCTTGATAAATAAGTGAGCTTTTGCATTTTTAATGTTATTTTAATGGAGTTAAATTTTCTTCTTTCCTCAAGGCCTATATGAACCCAATAGCAATGGCCAGATCAAGGGGTCCAATCCAGTCTTCAGGGCCAACGATCCAAGATTATCTGAATCGACCAAGGCCTACCTGGTACTTGTGAAACAATTTACCTATTTATAAGATTTTCATGAACTTTTTAAAGGTTGCTGTTACAGCTTTTATTGATTGCCAAGCAATTGCCAGATACGTATATTTGATATGTGCTTTCTTTTGAATGTATGAAATACATGGATGAGTGTAAACCAAATATTTGAGAACCCACCGCCAATAAAGCTAAAGCACTACCTGATAACCTTTTCATACCAATCTCTTCTCTGTCCCCTAAAATAGACCTTAACCTTCCTGTATCCTAAGCTGTTTAAAATGGTAGGTTTGAATAATCTCGCCCTTCATTGAGGTATAACTTTGTGTTAGGAAGGATAATGTTAGGCCTTATTTCTAGTGTTATCTGTTAGCTTTTCAATGAATTAGAATTTCCCACTATAAAATTTTTGCTTTAAATTGTTGTTTTGGGGGTTTTTTGCCCTCGTTGAGTAGCTCTGATCTTTTGTAAATAAAGCATCATAGCACTGGCTTTAGTATTTTTTAGTATGTCTTCCCTGTTATTAAATACCATACTCCTGAGGTAACACAACAAGCTTCAGAGTTGTTAGCTTTAGAATCATTCTAAGTGCCTCTGAAAGCTGGGCAACTATAGTTGAAAGTTGTGCTTACATATAACAGGGAATCTTGGAATTAAATAAGAAGTAAGCCGTGTCCACCTCTTAATAGTGTTCATGAGTGCTGCCGTTGACTGTTGCAACATACCAGAAATTACAGTATCCCAAAGTATATTTGTCTTTAAAATTGGGGAGAAGGAATGAACTTTAAAGGGGAAATGCTCAAGCAAGTATATTACATGTGTGTCAGAGTCCCCAGGACAGCCTTCACGTTGGATAATTTGCCAGAAGGACTCACAGATAGGTATACCTGTGGGTAAGATTTATTACCGTGAAAGGATACCAGCCGTAATCAGCAAAGGAAAAAGGCGCATGGGGCGAGGTCCAGGGGAGACCGCATGCAGGCTTCTAAGGCTTCCTCTCCTGTGGAGTCACACAGGACACGTTTAATTTTTGGTAACACACGTGAGATGTTGCCAACCAAGGGTGTTTATTAGAGACTGTCAGTGTGCCCAGGGTTTTTATTGGTGGCTGGTCAGCCTCTGCCTATCAGGTGCCAAAATTCCAGATTCCACAAGGAATACAGGTGTTCAGCATAAACTCTAGTGTTTGTACAAACAGTTAGGCACAGTGAGCCACTCTTATCAGGGAGTAGTAAGGACTCTCCTGAAATCCAAGTTCCCAGAGGCCAGCCAAAGCCAGTTTTGTAAGCAGGCCTTTCTAAGAATAAGCAGTCAGGTATGCTGTATTAACCCTTTTCTGCACATGTGAGGTACCTTATAAAATGAGTGACTTAGTAATAGAAGATAATAGTTCAGTCAAATAGACCATAGGTCACCCTAATTCTGAAACTACTAGCTTTGTGAGCTTGGGTAGATTTTTTACCTTCCCCAGGCTTCAGCTTCTGTATCTGTAAAATGGGGATAATACTACTACGTTTTCTCACAGTATTGTGAAGATTAAAGGAAAATGTATTTAAAACAGTGCCTGTTGTATGTTTTGGTGTATTGGCTTTTATAATCCGTGTTTAGAAGAGGAGTGACTAGTGTTATCTGATAGGCTTTATTATGATAATTGATTTACAAGGATGTGAACAAAGTAATTTGAAATGTATCAACACGAGAATGGAGGTTTATTAGGATATTAAGAAAAATTTATTTATGAAATTTTGTTGTCTTGTTTGTAACCATCCATCTCTAACTTGAATTGCTTGAAACCTTATTTGTATGTTCTATATTTTAAGGGAAGAAGTGAAAGAACAACTAGAAAAGAAGAAGAAAGGCTCCAAGGCATTGGCTGAATTTGAAGAAAAAATGAATGAGGTTTGTAAATAGTATCTTTTAAAAAAATAGACTCATCTTTTTTCCTATAATAAGAAAAATGAAATCATTTTTTAATAAACCAAGGGTTTAGGCATAGCTCTTTAGGTTAAGGGGATCTATATTTTAGAAGTGTTTTTGTTATATTGAATACCGGTTTGTATATAAATGTATGATTTCTTTAAAAAAATAATAGAGAAAAACCATCTTATAGTAATTTAAACCATCTTAAAGTTTTCTAAATATTAAGTTCTCCCCCTTCTCTCCCCATGCCCCCATCTTACCCTGGGATTTCCATGGTGATGTTTTCTTTTTGCTTACAAACATTTATGTAGTATTTCAGCCACAGTATAGGTTAATTCAGCTTTTATTGTTTGGAAAGAGAATCTGACCATCTTTGTTAAAAAGAAAAGTCTTCAGCCTCAGTAATATAACTTCTTTTCTCACAGTGGAGAACTTCTTTTCTCACAGTACAGTGGAGAACTCTCACCCCGTAATACCCTCTTTGAAAAGAGATAGTAGAGGCTCATTTGGTGGTAGGGTAAAGGATTCTGACACCTGGAGTATCTTTTTTTTTTTTTTTGTGAGGAAGATTGGCCCTTAGCTAACATCTGCCAATCCTCATCTTTTTTGCTGAGGAAGACTGGCCCTGGGCTAACATCTGTGCCCATCTTCCTCCACTTTATATGGGACGGTGCCACAGCATGGCTCGCCAAGCGGTGCGTCAGTGCGCGCCCGGGATCCGAACGGGCGAAACCCAGGCCTCTGCAGCAGAGCACATGCACTTAACTGCTTGCGCCACCGGGCTGGCCCCTCGAGTATCTTTTGACTGTAATTAGAGGCTAAGATGAGTGAGAGGCAGTAGAAGATGGAGGAAAAGAAGTAGTGGCTCTCTATATATTAAGTGTATTAGAAGGGGATAGATAGCCTCTGATGGTGTTTATAACCTTTTTGCAGAACTGGAAGAAAGAACTAGAAAAACACAGGGAGAAATTATTAAGCGGAAGTGAGAGCTCATCCAAAAAAAGACAGGTAATACCATTTTTAGTTTATTGCTATTCTTTTTTTGTGAGGAAGACCAGCCCTGAGCTAACATCTGTTACAATCCTCCTCTTTTTGCTGAGGAAGATTGGCCCTGGGCTAACATCCATGCCCATCCTCCTCTACTTTCTATGTGGGACACCTGCCACAGCATGGCTTGCTAAGCCGTGCATAGGTCTGCACCCGGGATCCGAACCCGCTAACCTTGGGCTGCCGCCGAAGTGGAGCACACAAGCTTAACCACTACGCCACCAGGCTGGCCTCAGTTTATTGCTAGTCTTAATCTCATAGTTGAGTTTTCATAATAATGCTGTGTACTACTATTAATAAATACATTTGAAAACTCACATCATCTTACTTAGATTTTATTTGTTTGCTTTTAGAGAAAGAAAAAAGAAAAGAAGAAGTCTGGTAGGGTGAGCAAAAGTTTTCCATTTTTCTAAATGTTACGGTTAAGATCTGACAAAAAAAGTAAGAATAATTTATATAACCTGTATGCTAACTCTAGATGAGTCAAGGAGCCTGGAGGTCCTTTGGTAGTTATGGAGATTTTGTTCTATTAGTGATATAAAAGAAAGGTGCCAACCTCCTTATAATGTAGTATGCTCTCTATTGCTATTAAAGAGGGAAAGTTGACTACTGTTGCCACATCTGTTGTTACTTTTTGAGTTTTTTTTGTTTTGTTTTTTTGGTGAGGAAATGTGACTTTTGACATTTTAATATTTAAGTCTTATGAATATGGCATCTGTTTCTCGGACACTAGATTGATTTCATTAAGTATTTGAGAGACTTAGTAAAAAAAAAATTCCTGCATCTCACAAGCTTTAATTGTTTTGTGCTTGGTCAAGTATTCATCTTCTTCATCAAGCTCTGATTCTTCCAGCAGTTCTTCTGATTCTGAAGATGAGGTAAGGTTTGCCTATAATAATTCATGAAATATCTGTCATTTCTTTAATGACAAAGGAAACATGTTATAAAATATCTGTTAAAAATATTTACTTCCAGGTTTTGATTGATTATCCATAACTGAGAGCCCTGACATGAATAAATAGATATTTGAATATTAGTATACGTATTTTTTAGATTCCTAAATTTGTCTTGTTCATTTAAAAATATCAGTAGAAGAAATGGATTTTAAAAATATAAAATGCCATTTGACTAGATGCTAGGAATTACATGTGACTCAATTCACTTGACTTTTTTTATAAAACAGGAAAGTGATATAATTTATATTTTAACTATTAGTTATTAAGCATAATGTATATATTTACAAGCTAGTTCTTTCATTAAGTTTTGTTCATTGATAAAGTTCTGATATTAATAAAATACATCAATTATATTTTTGAAGCAGAAAGCAAATGTTTCTAAAAATGTTTTATATAGGATAAGAAACAGGGAAAAAGGAAAAAGAAAAAGAAGAACCGTTCACATAAATCTTCTGAAAGCTCCATGTCAGAACCTGAATCAGACGATAAGGTAAAATTATTTAAATTAGCAACATTTTGGACCGCAAAGACATTTAATTAGGTTTTCCTTTTAGTTCTTTCCTATCTTAATTGCTATCAATTTAGAAATGAGATACTGGGCCGGCCCCGTGGCTTAGCGGTTGAGTGCTCGCACTCCGATGCTGGCGGCCTGGGTTCGGATCCCGGGTGTGCACCGACGCACCGCTTCTCCGGCCATGCTGAGGCCGTGTCCCACATACAGCAACTAGAAGGATGTGCAACTATGACGTACAACTATCTACTGGGGCTTTGGGGGGAAAATAAATAAATAAATAAAATTAAAAAAAAGAAAAAGTCTATTAAAAAAAAAAGAAATGAGATACTGTTTTTTGTACTTTGATGTTCTGTGCCACTTAATTGATGTACTTAATATCTTAGATGTGGCATTTAATTGTTCTCTAATTACTTTCACATGTATGTCTCCATGTCTCAGCATTTCCATGACAGCTTTATAATATATGGCAGACATTATTTTTTCCATTTTCATAAAGAAGTCATAGTTCGGAGACAAAAACATCTTGTTTAAATTCATATAGCTAGTGTTAGAATTGGAAGTTGAATCTATCTTCTGCTGTCTGGTCCAATGTCGTTTCTACTATACCTAAATCTATTCTGTACTGTCTACAATTGTCAGACACAATTGGCTCTCAAACATTAGTGGTCATAGGAAATACATGCAGGTTGCAATAAAAATGCAGATTCCTGGGCCTCATCTCCAGAGTCTGGTTTAGTGAGTCTGGTTAGGCTCAGAAATCTACATTTTTAACATATGTCCTCTGTGATTCTGATACAGGGTTGTCCATGGACCACAATTTGATTTTGTCCTAGGGTCCCAGGAGGACAAAGCAACTGTCTGGTTTTGTGGTAGATATCTACTTGCCCTAGTGAGATTTCTTCTGACAAAACGCCTGTTGTCTAGAAAGTATTCAGTAAATATTGGTTTTCTCTTTGTCTTTTAAAGCAGAAGAGCCAGTTTAATGATATTGATAGCTAACATTTATTGAATGCCTATGTGTTAAGCACAGTTCTAAGCACTTGACATGTTAACTCAATCCTCTCAACAACCCTATGAAGTAGTTATTTGTTATCTCAATTTATGGATAAGGAAGGCCCAGGGAGGTTAGTAGCTAGAACTGAGGGATTCAAAAGCAGAAATTCTTACCTCCTTTCCTTATAAGGAGAGTAGGGAAATCAGATCGGTAGATATCTGAGCACACTGTGAATTAGAACTCCAGTGCATATGACCACCACAGGCAAAAATAGGCAATAGCATAAAGTCTTATTTTAAAATAAACCATGTGGTATTACAGACAATATCTGTCATTTTAGGTGTACATGGTTTTGATATACAGCCAGATAAATGAAGAAGCCTCATTTCCTTACAAGCACTTATATATACAACATACATTTCTCCTATGTTTTCAGAATAAAATTCTAGTATTGAAGTAAACTTTTCTCAGTCGTAGAGCCAATCACCTTTTTGGTGTTTTGTCCTTATATTATAATGCTGCATCTTTTACGTTTAAAATTGATATATATGTTTATTTGTTTAGGATAGTTTAAAAAAGAAAAAGAAGTCAAAGGATGCAACTGAGAAAGAAAAGGTAATTATAATTTTACATTGCCTTAGGATAGTCTGTCATTCAGTTACTTCAAGAAATTAACATGTTCCCCTTTTTTTTTTAAATTTTTTGTTTATTACAGTAACATTGGTTTATAACGTTATATAAATTTCAGGTGTACATCATTATACTTCTATTTCTGTATAGATTACATCATGTTCACCACCCAAATACTAATTACAACCCATCACCACACACATGTGCCGAATTATCCCTCAGTATGTTCCCTTTTTAACTTGAGACTTCTTTTGCTTTTATGGCATTTTGTGTTGATTTAAGAAAATTATTTATTGGATTCGTTATTGAAGGTAAACGATCAGAAGAGTATTCCTGCAGAGAGTTTGGATTTGTGTAGATTAATGGATTATCTCAGATTAAAAATTCAAAATAATGGAGATTAAACATTTCCTTTGTTTCCTCAAGTCATTTTAAACGAGGCCCTTTTAATTAAAGAACATGGACTTCTATTTCAAATTGAGTGTACCATAGATAAGTTTTGGAAAATCTTTTTTAGTACTGTAAGTAGATGTTTTATCTTCATTTAAAACTTAACTATAATTAATGCTAAATTTATCCCTACCCTACATTTCTGATATATATTTAAAAATCTTCTGATTACTAAAAATAAAAGCCTAAAGAAAGCAATTACCAATGAAAGAAAACTACAGACCAGTGTCACTAAATTTTACTCAGTCTTTTTATATCATTTTTTAAAAATTGAGGTGAAATTCACATAATATGCTATTAACCATCTTAAAATTATAATTTGGTGGTATTTAGTGTATGGATAATGTTGTGCAATGACCACTTCTCTCTAGTTTCAAAACTTTTGCATCACCTACTTAAAAACAACCTGTACCCATTAAGTAATCAGTTCTCATTCTCCCTTCCCCACATCCCCTGGTAACCTCTAATCTGCTTTCTGTCTCTATGTATTTGCATATTCTAGATATATCATATGAAAGCAGTCATACAATATGTCACCTTTTGTGTCTGGTGTCTTTCACTTAGTGTAATGTTTTTGAGGTTCATCCAGATTGTAGCACGTAGCAGTACTTTGTTCCTTTTTATGGATGAATAATATTCCATTGTATGTATATACCACAATTTGTTTATCCATTCATCTGTTGATGGACATTTGAGTTGTTTCTACCTTTTTACTAATGGGGTAATGCTGCTGTAAACATTCATGTACAGGTTTCTGTATGGACATAGGTTTTCATTTCTCTTGGGTATATACCTAGGAGTGGTTTTTATTTCAATTTGCAAATAAAAATCCATTAAGACACTAAAAAAAGAAACCACATGACCAAGTTGGGTTAATTCTAAGAATTCAAAGGTAAGAAATTTATGGCCAAATGAAAGAAACCATATTATTATTTTAATAGTTGCCAAAAGAATGATGTAATTCAACATTAATTCCTGGTCTTCAGAACTATTATAGAATAAGAATAAGTGCTTATTTTCCTGTTTTTTTTTTTTTTTTAAATGTATGTGTGAAACTAAAAACTGGTAATATACAAACATGAAATACTAAGACAACTGCACTGTGATTTTGAAATACTTCAAAATAATATATGGTACAGAGTAATATACAGATATATAATAAACAAATACCCATATACATACCAGCTAGAATTAATAATTTACATTTTGTCATATTTGCCTCAAGTCTTGTTTTATTAAAAAAAAAGTACCAGACACTCTCTCCTTCCTTACAGGCAGCTGTTTCTGAAATTAGTGTGCATCCTTCCCATCCACATTTATACCCTTTTAACGTAGAGTATTTTGTATTTTCAAAGTGGTATCAATGTGTTTCCTTCTGAAACTTGCTTTTTTCACTCACCTTTGCTGTTGACATTTATCCTTGCTGATACTCTCAAGTTTGTTTCTTTTGCTCATTGTATTCCAGTATATTAATTTGCCACAATTTTTCTCCATTCTCCTGTTGGTGGACATTTAGATTGTTTTAATTTTTCAGTAATGCAAACAGTGCTGCAATGGCTACTCCTTACCTATTTTTCCTTTTCACAAGTTACTGTTAATTTTCAAAGATATACCTGGGACTGTAATTTGTAGGTCCTAAGATGTACATTTAACTTGTCTACATTTTGCTCACCAAAGTGTTTGTTATTAATTTACATTCCCGCTAGTAGTATGTGACAGTACCCTCGTTCCACATACATACTTGTCAACACTTTGAGCCTTCTTTTTTGCCAATCTAATGTATAGATGGTTGAGCCTCTTCATTTGCTTGTTGGCCATTCAGATTTCATTTTCTGTGAATTGCCTGTTATAGTCTTTGCCCGTTTTTCTGTTGGATTATTTTTGATTTTTCTGATTTATAAGAGTTATATATTTTGGATACTGTTCTTTTATACACATAATTAACATCTTCTGGTCTGTGGCTTCTCTTAATCTTGTTTAGGGTGTCTGTTATAATCATAAAAAGGTTGTAATTTTAAGTCATATGTATCAGTCATTGTTTTTAGCCTTATTTTTATTTTAAGTTGTTGTGCAAGTGCAATGCAGTACCCAATTAGAAAATATAATGGAAGAAATTATCCCATTTATAATAGTAACAAAGGGTATATAGGAAAATTTTTAAGAAGTGATGAGCAGGATTTATTTGAGGAAAACTATATCTCTTCTGAGATGCACATGAAGATTTAATAAATGTTGTAAGTATTTGTGCAATTTAATATATGATAAAGGTGGCTTTTCTTGGGACACAAGACTAGCCATTTGGAAAATATAAAGCTGGACAGTCCTTAAGGCCAAATGAATCCAAAATCAAAGTTTTAAATGTATGAAAATACCATTAGAGAAAGACAAGGGTGAATATAAGATTGGGGTGGTGAAGGCCTATGCCTCAAAACTCAGAAACTTTTAACCACATAATTCTAACTCTGAATGGCAACAAGAGATCACAAAAAATAAACCATGAACAAAGTTTAAATACAATGAATAGACTTAAGAAAAACTACTACAAGTACATAATTCCAAAACTTAGTGACCTTCAGTAATTAAAAAAGAATACCACATACACAAAAGAGTTGGTAAAATACATATTTAGGCAATTCTAAAAGAAAATACAAACTATATTCTAATAATCTGAGATTGATACGATTGATGAAAGAGCCTGATTAAAGAGGCTTCTGGGTAAAGTGTGATTTATAATGAGTGAAATAAAAAATGACTATGGGGTGGTGAGAGAGTGAGAAAATAATTAAGGCAAAGGCTACTCTGGTCTTTGATTTAGTCATTATTAGATAAAGATTTTGTACTCACATACCCTTTGCTCTATTTCAACTTTGTTTTTAATAGCAAAGAACTCATATGCCTGCCTTCCAGAAGGAGATGGGTTGAGTAAATTGTGGCATATACTTTCAATGAATGTCAAAAGTGGCCATAATGACACTGTAGTTGGCATGGTAAGATACTATTGGGTGAGAAGAGCAGGTTCCAAACAGCTAATATTTATGTAAAACTGTAAATATACACTTAGAGAGATGTTGCCAAAAATCTTGATGTTTAATCCCTGGTAATGGGATCTGAGTGAATTTTCTTACAATGAGCATTTATCATTTCTACCAAAATAGTAAAGCTGTTTGCAGAAACTAAATTAAATCACCTATAACCTAACACATGGATCATCACTGTTAGTTTATTTTCTACATGGTTTTTTTTTTTTTGTATCTTTAAAATTGGGTTTGTGCTATATAAAGTTTTGTGTCATTTTTTCTGTGTAAGATAAAGTGGTGAGCATTTTTTCCATTGTGTTGTTTTATGTTTTTGTAGTTAAGAACTACTTCAGACATACAGAAAAAGTATATGGAAAACAATAAAATGACAACCAGTATATCCACTCTGAAGATTTAATAACATTTTGCCATGCTTGCTTCAGATCTTGTTGAAATTTTTTATTTCTTAAAATATATATTTAATTCCCTGAGTACTCCAGTCTTACTCCCCTCTCCTTCCCCGGAGTTATACACTTACTCATCATTAAAAATAGAGATGAACATTTTTTATGTGAATTTAACACTTTTAATATACTAAAGGAATGACTGTGTAGAGATCCTTTTAGATTATCGCAAATGATTACCCATTGATTTTCTTGTCTGCGGCACTAGGCCTGTCTCAGCCGACACGGGGTAGAAACAAATGAATTAGAATACGATGGGTTGTAATTAGTATTTTGGTGGTGAACATGATGTATGTAATCTATGCAGAAATAGAAGTACAATGATGTACACCTGAAATTTTTACAATATCATAAACCAATGTTACTGCAATAAACAAAAAATTAAAAAAAAAAAAAAAAAAGAATACAAAGGCCCCCGGCCGGCCCCATGGCTTAGCGGTTAAGTGCACACGCTCCGCTACTGGCGGCCTGGGTTCGGATCCTGGGCGTGTACCGACACACCACTGCTCTGGCCATGCTGAGGCCGCGTCCCACATACAGCAACTAGAAGGATGTGCGACTATGACATACAACTATCTACTGGGGCTTTGGGGGGGAAAAAAAAGGAGGAGGATTGGTGATAGATGTTAGCTCAGAGCCGGTCTTCCTCAGCAAAAAGAGGAGGATTAGCATGGATGTTAGCTCAGGGCTGATATTCCTCACAAGAAAAAAATAATAATTAATAAATAAATAAATAGAATACAAAGGACCCAAATCTTATACCAACTATATGGTTTCTTGTGACTCTTTAAAATTCTGTCATGTATAATTAAAGAAATTAAGGAGAATATTACATCTAAATGGATATGTAATTATTTCTTTTCAGATTTTTTAATAAAAGCATTACTTTATTGGAATTAAAGACTGAATCCTGGTAAATGTCACCAATTTTAGACATTTCTAGAATGAAAATGGATAATTTTTGTGATAATTGGAAGAATTGGTAAATAGAACTTAGAAACATAAAATTTGTGTGGCACAGTATCATATCTTTTTGAGTCAAGATACATGTATTTTTCATAGGACATTAAAGGACTCAGCAAAAAAAGAAAGATGTATCCTGAAGATAAACCTTTATCACCTGAGTCCTTATCAGAATCAGATTATATTGAGGAGGTAAGTATATGATCAAATCTATTTTATCGACTTTAAAATGTTTAGTTATTTGATTTAATAAATATGAATTAGTAAAATGAAATACTTTATAAATATTTGATTTACTCACTTTTCTAGTATGATATACTATGAAAAAGAAATGGAAGTTGTTCCATTTCAGGTTAAGTTTTGCATTTTTCCAGAAAATAATTATATGGCTATTATTTTGATAATTAACCATATTTCCACATACTTTTCCAATCTGATATATTTTATTTTTATTCTTCTAATGTTTTCTTTTTATTGTACTACCATTTTGATTTCATGAGAGATGCTATGTAGTGTGGAGTATTGAAACCCAGCATTCCCTTGTTTTTGTACGGAGCTACTACTGTTGAGGGAGTAGAAAGGTGATGAGGTGGAGCAGCCACATTGGCCTGATCTCAGTGATCCTGTCTGTAAAGTGAGGGAATAGGAGTAGGTCATCTGTACAGTCCTTTTCAGCTCTAATATCCCTATCTTAGATTTTGTACTCTTTTGGAATTTGAGTCCATTCTTAGTTAATTTTAGGTCTGTAAGTTATCATCTGTAAAGTATTTCTCTCTTGGACTTGGTTTCCTCATTTGCAAAATAGGGCCTGTTGCCCCGTTTTGTAGCAATATTTTGTAATGCCCCCTGAAATGAAATTTGTAGCTAATATTACATATATATATATCCTACACATTTTTATATTAATATCCTATGAAGAAATACAAGAAAGTAATAATGTATAATTTTATCAAATTATATTTCAATACATAAAATGCTTGAATGTGATAACACCAGAAGACATAAAATCTTAAGACATAACAGGTGCATTACATATGCCCTTCAAAAACCGTACAATAGCATTGTCATCAGTGACATTTCCAAAATGGTGAACAATTTTCAGTAAAGCTCTGAATGAAACAAAATACAGTCTTTCCTCTATTTATATGACATTTGCACTTCTGGGACATTCATTGTATCTTAAAACCCTATACAAATTACTTTGTGTTCATATTACAATAAATTTAGCTTCTGTATTTATATAAATAGGTTAACTACATGGATGTCTAGCAAGCTATTCAAAAGTCATGTCAGGGCTCTCCTAATGTTGCGTGACAGTATCCCCTGTCTTGGCCTGGTTAAATGTGGATGCAACAAAGCTACTACCACCCCGGTCATTGTTATGACAAGAATAACAACAATAAACAATAATTTCCTAAGTACTCTCTAGAGCACTTGTCTTAATATGAAATGTGTTACATTTGGACTTAACATTAAATACACATGAGCTTTATCAACTTTGAGTTTAATTGATATTCAATGTACCACACTTTAAAAGATTGAACTAAAATATTAATGGGGTGATAATTGTTACTTAAAAGGATTTTAGTCAGTTGGTTTATACTGAATACACTGTATAGCTACCATTTATTGAACATCAGAGAGTAAGAGAAATACCTACTTTATTCCAGGCACTTCCCCTTGAGAGTAGTTATTATCTCCATTTTACAGATGATGAAACTGAGGGTAATACATAGCAGAGGGAGGATTCAGAGTTCAGTGTGTTTTGTTTCAGAGCTCATGTTTTCTATCCATTGTATCTCACTGCTAATTGTAGATGCTGAAAAGGAATATAAGAGGAGCCCTCTAGAGATTTAAAATCTTTAACTTTCTTTCTTTTAAAAATGTTTTTCATTGAATCCTCATTGTGATATAACAGGAATTTGAGGTATAACAAAGTATTTAAAATGTCATTTGATTGTCAAAATGTTTTTTACATATAAATTTTAAAGATGCCAGGTATATTAGGGAATGAAAAAAAAATGCTCTGAGTACAAGTTACATATTTGTCTTCTGTTCCCCACAAAAATTTTAAACTTTTTAGGTACGAGCAAAAAAGAAGAAAAGCAGTGAAGAACGAGAAAAAGCAACAGCAAGTATCACTTATGTTTTTATAGACAACAGTGTAGCTGTTTTCGTTTAATGTGAAATGAGTCATGGTAAAGCATAATTGCATTTACTGGGACCAAATAAGTATTTATTGGGAATGGGGTAGTGTTGAGCAGCTTCACTTAATGGGTTGGAGAAAGTTAAATAGGCTCAGGAACAAGAAAGAATCAGTATCCTGGTAGCAAACATCTCCTGTTTCCAGTTCCGTATTTTACTGTTAGAAATGTAAGCTCAGACTTCTTTTGACTTTCTTAAACTGTAATATAAAATATGAGCTTAAAGTATGGTGATTCCTTTCATCTTCAATAGTAGTTACTTCCAGATCAACCAAACCCGGTGATAACAGAAAAAGCCTCTCTAAGCACAAGCTGCAATGAATAATAAGCAGGAATGTGGCAACATAAATGATTCATTAATAAAGATGATTCTTTTGATCATTGCAAAGCCAGCTCTGCTATTATGCAGATTGAGAAGTAGGAAAGGAGAGAGAAGGAAGAGGAGAACAGGAAAGTGGAGGTGATATCCAGGTGAGAAGCAGACCAACCTAGAGCACGTGGATAGCAGATTATCAAACAGTAATGTGGATCTCATCAGCAAAGTAACTTAGGAGCACTCAGTATGAATGTGGGCTATGGCCTTTAAAGGCATTTTCTCAGGGAGAGGTAATAGATAAATGAGAACGGCATCATTTGTAGGCTTGAGGGTAAATACCCCTTCCCAGAATTTCCCTAGCTCTTAAAGTAAGGGTGCTTCTCTGATAAGACAGTTCACCTGGTAATGTATGATTCAGAATTAACATTTTATATGCTTCAAGGTGACATTTGAGAGACTTTTTTTCTGAATGGGAAAATAATTTGGGTAAAGACTGCTTTGATCCTTGGTTCAGATTTATTAATTAAGACATAAAATTAATTTTGGGTAATTCTAATTTGTATTTGCCTACTTCACTGTTTCATGCATTCAGCTAGCATGTATTTATTAAGCATCTCTATGCAGGCACTGTTCTAGATCTTGGTAAAACTGTTATAATGGATACAGGATAAGAGGGTGATATGTGAGAGAGTGACTTTGGGGAAGGAAAGCCTCTCTGAGGAAGTTGTGGAAAGTTCTAACAGATAAGGAAATGCACAGGAAACTTTGTTTTTGCTACCCTTATATGTCTCTTCTCTTTTCTTGGTCTTTATTTTCTTCCGAATATCAGCTACTAGTCTATCATTTGATACCACCTTTCCAAGTATCTGTTTCTAAAAGTTCTACCTTCTCTTCTACATCAGCAACAGCCATGAGAGTCAGAGTTCAGCAAAATTCTTGCTCCCTTTATCCAGTAACAATTTGACTACTTTTACTAGGCTTCAATGGCATTTTCTTCTAAAAATCAAACATCTGTTTTACTAAGCTAAATAGACTTTTCAACCTTACATCAATATTTTGTACCAGTTAGTTGTTGTTAATTTCATAATTAAAGCAGTGCTACCAGTCTAAGCAGTACATAATATCTGTGATCCTCTTTACTTAAAAATAGCAGCTATAATATATCTGTTCTCTGAAAACTTGCATTTTACAAAAACAATTGTGTTTTGCTCTGGTTTGAGGATTCCTTTGCAGTAACTACAATTACTTCAACTTTAGAAATTATATAACATGAAATATAGCAATTGATACCATGATTCAGTTGAATTTATCTTCTACAGGAAATTGTGTTAGAAGCTACATTAATGTGCTAATGACTTAGAGTTTTTCCTTATCTTGACAAACACTCTCTTAGTCCTCATACGATATTGATTATTGAGACTTTTTGAGAAATGTTTTGAGTAGCTTACTTGGTTTTGTGAATTGTTAGAAATAACTATGTAGTGGTTTAGAAGTACCATGGTAAAGTTGTTGTTTTTAATTTTCATGTAGAAATGGCTAACATGGATCTGTCTTTACAGGAAAAGACAAAAAAGAAAAAGAAGCATAAGAAACACAGTAAGAAGAAGAAAAAGAAGGCTGCTAGTTCAAGTCCTGACTCACCGTAACATTAAGAAAAATCAGGATTCCCTTATAAAGAAAGTGCAATGCTAAGGAAATTTCAACTGTGAAAATTATGACATATTTACTAAAATGCATGAATTTTCTTGTTTTTAGAATTATTCCTGGACTATTCAGTAGCCACTAAGATGCCGCTGTGTGAAAGGGCCATAATTGTTGCCTGCTGCTTGAACATCTTTTTTTCCTCTTCCAGTGCTTAATAACTCTGGGAGATAATACACTGCAGTCGTACTAGTGGTTAAGGTATTTGGGAATAAAGTTAATATTTTTGACTAGAAGTATCTAATGATAAATCAACAGAAACTGAATCTGGATACATCATTAAGATGTGATCAGAAATGACCAGATGACTCTAGTTAACATTTTTGAAAGAATGGTTACATTGATAATTCAAAATCCTTACTCTGTAGATAAGTGTATTTTAATTTTTTTCCCCTTGTATACTTTTATTTACCTGAGGAAGGACCTTTTAGGGTGGGGGGTGGTTTGCTATCTCTTTAGCTAGCAGAATAGCGTGCCTTTTATCCTCACACATCCTATTTTTGTGGACACAGTAGCCATGCTTCATGGGGAGGTCAGAGCTGGGTACAGCAGTCTTGCCCTTTACTGAACTTAGTGACATCCTTGGATTCTGTCATATGCTGCTTTGAGTGAAAGAGAGAAACAGGTGTTTGCAGCATAAGAAAGCCCAAAAAGCTCTGGGATTTACCTCCACTTCAATAATATTGAATGTTTTTTAGCATTAGAATGTTATAACATTTGAATTGATTTTGACTATACTTTGGCTTTGGAGAGGAATCATTTAAAATAGACACTGGTACTTTTTGAACTTGGTAGCTAAAGATTCTAAAATGCATGTTTTATACTGTTTTAACCAGTCAAGAAAATTTTATGCAACCAGTAATAGTTATTTTATTTTTTGTACGAATTTCGTTTAGGCTGTAATGTTTAGCTTTTTATTAACTCCTTATTCTTGCTATCTTAAATTCTTTACTGTGTTTAATGGCATACTTGCCAAGATATTTAGCATGTAAAAAGCAAGTTTTTGATTTTTTTTTTTTTTTTAACAGCTTCATATTGAAGCTGAGACTTACCATAAACAAGTTGAGTGGCAGGCCTGGTATGCTGTGTCTTGTTACATAAAGCTCTTGCCAGAATCTTAGTAAATATAACGTTTTACAAGTTTGTCTTTGTATATTCATAACAAATTATGAGAAGTTAAATTTAAGTGAGAATTACGTTATTGCTCTTTCTGTGTCATATTTTACTAAGATTTTGTGCCTCCTATCTCCTGCTGAATTGTTTACTAGTAATGTTAAAAGAAATTGATAAATCATTTTCACTTACATTTTTATATAATCAAGTAACATGAAATATAATTTGATGTACAATTTTGCCTGTTACAGAGGGTGTGCTGATTATAGTGGTATATGCACAAACATTTTGGCATGACAAGAGGCTGAATAAATAGCTATTTTACTTAAAAATAGCTGTGTTCTTATCAGCTCCCTTTGAGTCACAAATAAAGTTATAAAGATTCAGAAACCATACTAGGTGTTAAATAGTAGGTGGATAAGACATGTACCTAAGTTTTTACCTGTAAAAATAACACAGTTCTTGGTAAGTTTCCTTAAATTTTATGCTTAAAGCTTCATACTATTTTCTAATAAAAGATATCTATATGCTCTTGAGTATACAGCAAGTTTGAGGGACATTTTGTATCCAAAAGGAAGTTTAAGTTTCTTAGAATTGTTCATGAAAATGCTAAAAGATAAGTTTATCAGGTTATTTGTTGATCAGTTTTGCTATGAACATAGAAGTATACCTTTTCACACTGGTTCAGTATATGATGATTATGTCCCACTAAAAGCAACTGTTCATTTTATTACACTGGGGAAGAAGGTGATTTGGCAAAAAATTGTTTTCTTTCTAAACTGTTGACTGTCTGGGGAATACCTTTTTCCTTGTTTCTCTGATGGTAGCCTTAACAGTCTTCTGATTGGGTATAAGAAGAATATTTGACCGGGTGTTGTTATGTACAAGTTAATAACATCTCTTACTTCCTCCTTCCACCAAACTACCCTTTTTCTTGAATAGTTTTACACCAATTTTATAAATACAAGCCATGTTATTTGGATAATGATGCCAACGTAACTACAGCAAAATTGATGAGTGTCTGGATAGAAACATTGAATTTATACCAGTGCTACCTCTTTCTGATTTAGATTAATTTGAGTGCCCTTAGTATATTTAGGTGTTTTAAATACCATAACAGTGTCCTGAATTTTTTTTATACAGAGTAGGTTCATATTCCTTCAGTCAAAATGTGCTAAAAGCGTTTTGCCTAATTTTCTTTCAATGCATGGAGAACAGTAGACTAGCCTCAGAGAAACTGAGAATAGTTATTCTTCAGACTTAAGTGACAAATTTCACACTTTTCCTTGAGAAAAGTGCAGGAAGTTTTTTTCCCCAATTATTTTTGGCTTACTTTAAAATTTGTTTTATATTTTATTATCTAGTAAGAATATAGTGTCTTAAATTCTGAAAATCATTTTAGTACCTTTTCTTGCCTTACCACAGTGAAGGCCAGAAGACACAGATGATGTTTGTTCTCTGTACCAGGATTTGACAGTAGACGAAAGTTAGAACAGTTGCCATTTTGGCCAGCTTTGGCATAATCACACCATGTTTTCCTACCAGTCAGTCAAATACAAGTTGGAGGGATAAAAGTGAGGTTTTACATTTCTCTAGAAGTTCCCAGATTAAAGCTTCTGTTTGGATATCATGAGAAGGTGCTTGGTTAGAGTTTTCAAAGGAGGTTATAACCTTTGAAGGAGCTATTTATAGCCTGAGAAATTATTTTATTTCAACTTAAAGAATAAGGTCTTTATATTAATTATGTGTTCAAATAGGAGGGAGACATTTTCAGCTGTAGAATTTTTGCTGAGGAAATGTAAATGGCAATAATATCAAGTACCACTTTTAAGTGTTTAGCCCCAAAGAAAAGATAAATGCTGGAATTGCTGTAATATTTCAGATCACAATACCAGTGAAATCACTGCATTTGTATTGAGTGGTAACACCTGTTGTTGCGCATTTTTCCAGTTACAGTCATGTGTCGCTTAATGATGGAAATATGTGTTGAGAAATGGTTGTGTGAACATCATAGAGTGCACTTACACAAACTTAGATGGTATAGCCTACTACATACCTAGGCTATATGTACTGATCTTACATGACCACCATTGTATATGCAATCCGTTGTTGACCAAAACATTGTTATGTGGCACTGAGAACCTTCTGTGTTTGGTCACTGGAACGTTGCCATGGTCACATTCTGTGTTGAGCGTGGCATAGTGAACTGTAGCATCAGTGGCAAGCCAGGACGCCCAGGCTTGGAGCTAGGCTATCTGAGAAGTCTGTAATGTGTTGAAACTACACTTGACATGGAGCCGAAGGCTCTGAAGAAACTGGTGGAATCCATCAGTAATACTGTCAAGAGCTGTAAGTACTGACCAGACATCCAGCACTGCCCGAACATCTTTATTCACTCAGATAGAAACGTCGCTAGACATATTAGTTTAACATTAACAAGTGCTTTGTAACCCCAAAAATAGAGCTTGTCTATTTTCTATCTAATATTTTGGCCATTTTAAAAAATAGTAAATGAATGATTATCCCTACCCTTTCACTAAAAATACTTTAATCATCAGGTGTTCTGAAATATATTGGTGTATGTGGGAAGAATAGCTTGAGAAGTCACATGACATCCTAAGTGCTAGAGGATTATTTGCCAACCAGGGGCTGATTTTATTATAGTCTGAAATTTAATAAGAGATCTCGAAATATGAAGGTTTACCTTGATGAGTTCTCTGGCACAAAACCTGTAGAAGCAGATGATTGTTCTACTTCAGGGGATTGACAGAGATACATAAAATACTTTAGATGTTGAAAAAATAGCATGGTGCTTTGCACATGGCAAGTGATTATTAAAGCTAATCTAACAGAGTTTGTGGGATTCCTTACCCTGACAGACCTTAAAAAGTAATCTTGTGAAGTTTGTCTCAGGCATGACCACAACAATCCTGCTAATGATCCTGAGTATCTGTTTTTAGATTTTGAGGAAGTTACTTTTATTTCAGCCACTTTTACAGCCTCATTACTGGGCACTTTGTCTAAGAATCTCGTTGTAGACTTAATTCAGTTTTCTTATTTCAGTTGGATTTTAAATGATCTAAGCTCCTCAAGCACTCCTCTACGTCCTGTGTTCCAATCCTGTTGTACAACCCTTAAAATCCATCTGGCAGGTTTAGCCACTGTTGAATGTAGTAAGAAATATCTGCTGTCATTTGCTACTTTCTTAACAGCCTGAGTTTTATAACATTCCAAAGGAAATTTTGCATACTTTAAAAATCTAACTCCTCTCCCCATCATAATGAAATTATTTTTAGCAATGTCTGTTACTCATATGTGTTTAATACCATAATTTGTTATTTAAAGCAATTCTCTGAAATACTCTAGGTATGAATATGTAATACCTGATCAGACCCATATCCCATATAGTCTTCTACAAAGAAAATACATATAATAATTGTTTGAAAAAAGGAATGAGTTGCATTCTTTTCTTTTTCCAAAGCTGTTGACACTTATTAATTCTTATGTTATGATCAACAGTTCAGGCCCTGGATGCTTAAACATGGCTATTCACCAGTGTAACCAGATTACTGTTTTATACTCAGATTGCTAACAGCTGATATTTATTGAGCTCTTCATTGGTGAAACACTATGCTAAATGGTTTATGTTTAGGGGGAGCTAGAACTCAGGTAGTCTGATGCCAGAGCCTGCACTCAAATAATCTTTATTTCTCAAATTAATCCTACTGATCAGCATTATAGACCCTCATGGTCATTCTTTATAGTGCTGCCTTGGCCTTCTCAAGAAGAGACTATCTTTTTATTATTTCTCTTCATATGCAAAGTTGTAGTTGTCCCATGTGACAGAAAGTTGTAGTTTTTCCTGGGCTTTGCACTAGACTCTAGAGCTGTTTGGGAGGGAACCTTTATAATGTGCGAGACCCTCATGTGCCACATGGCCTCTTCCAGTCGAAATCGCTACCGCTGCAGGACTCTCCTCTGAGATCCTCAGCTGGTTACCTCATGACCTCACAAAGGACATTCATTACCTTACCAAGCAGCTGTTTCCTTTTTTCTTTTTTTTCCAGACAGATCTAGAATGTTTTATATTCTAGTATAACTTCTACCTATTGATCTTTGTACTGCTCTCTAGAGCTTCATTGTCCAGTATGGTAACCACTAGCTGCATGTGGCTATTTAAGTAGAATTTAAAATTCAGTTTGGGTTACACTAGCCACTTTTCAGGGCTCAATAACCACATGTGGGTTGTGGCTACCAAATTAGCACAAATGTAGAACATGTCCATCATCTCGAAAAGTTCTATTAGACAGGGCTGCTCTAGAGTCACACAAATCTGTTCCTTTTTCCAAATCTTAATATAGTGTGGAAGGCAGGTAATTACCTCAGGGTGTAATAAAGGGCTTCATGGATGTGCAACCTCTGTGTCCTCCTGGCCATGCTTAATTTAATGCTCTGCTAAGACTGACTTAAAATTAATTTTTTGAACAAGGGACTTGCATTTTCATTTTGCATTGGGCCCACAAATTCTGTAGTCGATCCTGGCTGTGTACCCCTTATTCATAGTATGGTAGAAGTGTCTTCACCATCAGAATCATGTAAAGGTTTGTATTGAAAATACAGATTCCTGGGTACCACCTTAGGAAAAAAATCTCTGAAAGTGGAGACAAGCATCCAGATTGTTCACTCCATGTATTCTTAAGACACACTCAAGTTTGAAGATTCCTGATCAAAATTGGCTTTTCCAGTTGAAACTTCAGTTTTGTCAGCCTAATATCAATCCTAGCTTGATTGATAGTGAATTGGGAATTGACCCAGTCTTTTTCACATGTATTGTTGTTTAGCCATAATTTTTCCACTTACATAGATTAACAAACTTTTTTAAAGCTAAGTGAAGAATTTAAAAACTATTCCTAATAACTTCATGTTGGTTGATAGAACTGATCATTTTGGCCTCAAGAGGTTACTTTGGATTCTGACTCTCATCCAGCATATTCCTTAACCTCTCCAATTTACAAGTGGTTGATTATCATTTATTTAGCAGACATTTATTGAGACCCTATCATTGTGCTAGGCACTACTGGGTAGTGAGTAGATATTAACATAAGAATGATAAGAGATTTTTGTCAGATGCTTTGCTAAAATCCAAATACTTTGTGAACTGCTTTTCTCTGATCCACTCCTACTAGAAGGAAAAATAAGTTAAATCTAGTTTGATTTGCCCTTGTGAATTTATGAGCTCCTCCTCCCTGAGTGTTAATGAGTTTTTAATACAATTGATCATCTCTTCTGGGACTTAGCCCAGGACCACCTACAGGCCCACTAGTCTAATATTTGGCTTTCCCTTTATTTGTGAGACATAACATGGACTGATATGGGTGAGTATATAGGTTAGTATTTTCCTAGCTATATCTGCTGAGATGGCTTAGAATTAACACCCCATGGGCCGGCCTCTTGGCTTAGTGGTTAAGTGCGTGTGCCCCGCTATTGGCGGCCCGGGTTCGGATCCCCAGCGCGCACCGACGCACCGCTTCTCCAGCCATGCTGAGGCTGCGTCCCACGTACAGCAACTAGAA